GAAAGCTCGGTGGTCTGCGAAGCTGCAATTCGCTTCACCACATATGCCTCTGATCAGCGATCTGTTAGAGGATCTCGATAAGTCAATATGGTATTGCTCGCTGGATATGGCCAGTGGATTTTGGGTCGTGCCGATGACGGATCGAGCCCGCGAGATCTCAGCATTTATCACCCCGTTCGGACTATTCGAATGGAATCACATGCCTTTTGGCTTAAAACGCCCCGCAGATCTATCAACGCCTCGTAGATAACACGCTGTATGGATTCCTGAAGGTCTCGCGATTAAGCGACGCCGGGACCACAACGGCCGTGTTCCAGACAGGGATCGCGGACGATCCAGATCGCGGGTCTGTGTTGAGACGAAGATCATACATGGACGACGTCATGATCACAGCAGAATCGTGGGACCATATGCGCCAAATGGTGGAAGATCTGTTGGAAGCTTGCGATAAGTGGAATTTATTGATCTGTGTGGCGAAGCGTTTCTGGGGCATGGATAAGGTAGGATATCGGGGACAGCGCGTGTTGATCGGAGGGCTGGAGGTGAACCCAAAAGATCTGAAATCCTTAACCGATCTACCGTCTCCCGGATCACTTCGATTTATGCAGTCGTTCCTGGGTAGTTTGAATTACTACAGCCGATTCATTGAAGATTACGCTATATATGCTTCGGTGCTCTATGAACTACGCTTGGTGGAGTTTGCAGAATTAGAAAAACGATCGGATCTTAGGAAGATCAAGAACCAGAAAGATCCGATTGCTCGAGATCATGGCCTACCGGCACTGAAGTTGGCGGAACCATTGGATGGGAGGTGAATCAGGGCGCATAAGGCCTTCATCACGCTGAAGGCCAAGATCGAGACAACGCCGATTCTCCGCGACTTCGACGAGACAAGAACGCCGGTAGTTATCGTATATGTCAGTGATTGGGCGATATCCGCCTCGTTGACGCCAGAACACGTCGGGATCTACCATCCGGTCGCGTTCGCTAGTAGCACCTTGAAGACGAACGAGTTGAATTATAGCATGACCGAAAAGGAGGCGTTGGCATTGCTGAGGATCCTGGATCTCTACTATAATTTACTGGTGGGACGCGAGATCCGGGTCCTAACGAGGCATTCCGCGTTAGCCTGGCTGTTCAAGTCGATAAAATTGCAGGGTCGCCTAGGGCAATGATCAGATCTCCTAGCCCCGTGGACTGTCGAGATTACGAAGTGCACGAAAGGCGAGGACGAGATACTGGGGGAGATCGCCGCCAACATCACACCGACAACGAAGAAGGACGACGCTCTGACCGATATCGCTCCTATGAAGGTACCTAAACGCCGGATCCAAGCGCCGATACATCGAGAAGAGAAATTATGGGGGCTGTTTCGATAGCTCAGCTCGAGTAAAGCGTAGTAGGGGCTCGTTCAGCGCGATCGTGTGAAGTCTGCCCGGATGGGAGATGGTCAAAGCTAGATCGGGCTACCTCGAGAACCTCACCGTGAACGAAGCAGAATACAACGGCATGATCCTGGGACTCGACATGCTAGAGGACCTAGATCGCAAGCGCCTAGTGATCTGCGGTGATTTCAACCTAGTGATGCGGCAAGTAGGGAGAGAGATCGATTGCAAGAGAACCAGACTGACGTTACTGAAGTAGATGGCTCTCGATCGTCTGAGGAAATGGAGCGGTCATGAACTGGTACATGTGAAGAGAGCCTGGATTGGGAGTGGTGACAGTCTAGCGAGCGCCGCTATGCAACGGCAAGGCGGGATCGAGGTCCAAGGAGGGCCCGAATACCAGGATCAGGCCTCCTTGAATTGGTTGGACGAAATACTGATGCTCAAGACCAAGAACTCAGTGGTGCGAATTGCAGCGGTCACCACCCGAGCATCTCGAGTAAGATCACCCGTGGGAGTCATGTAAGAGGACCTGATCCGGGAGATGCGGGTCGATCGGATCAGGCGGGCTCAGGAGGAGAAAGTAAGGATCATAGGTATGAAGAAATATCTGAGTGGCGTCATCGCCGATCCGAGGCAAGATTGTGGCCGATTATGAGGTGGATGAGCAGAATCTACTCTTCTACTACCCTCCCACGCCGAGATCGGGGGATGATTCGCGATCGATCGCTAAGTCCGGCGGTACCCGATACGTTGCTATCTGACATCTTGCACCACTATCACACTACGCTGGAAGGAGGACATCAGGGAATACCTACCAGCGGATCAGGGATCACTTCCACTGGAGAGGATTGTATCGGAGTGTTCAGCGATATTTGGGGGAATGCGTGGACTGCGAAACGGGAAACGGGAAAAGAAAAACCCGCGATCCGGGGTGAATCCCCAGGGAACTTGCAGGCGACACACCCGTTCCAGATTATTGCGATGGATCATATACCGTCGCTGCCCAGATCGCACAAGGGGAACACTGAGTTATTGATCTGGGTCGATCTGTTCACAGGATACGTGATCGCGAAAGCTAGCTCGTCCCTATCGGTCCAAATGGTCGCGGAGTCGTTCGAAGAGTGTGTATTTCGACGATTTGGTGCCAGCGAGATGAACCGACATGATCGAGAACCCGGTTTCATGTCTATTTCTTTCTGTCGGTTAACAAGATCCTGGAACAACGGTAGGGAGCGACGATGGCATATCGACCACAAGCTAACGGGACAGCGGGAAGAACGATACAGACGGCGACCAGGGCACTCAAGATGTACGTTCCCGAGCTGGATTGAAAGGATTGGGATGAGTATGTTGAGCGGCTTACCTTCACAATCAATACGGCCCACGATCGGATCCTAGGGGATACCCCTCATTATCTTACGCATCAGTGGAACCGAGATCGACGCTGGAGGCTACACTACCAGTCGGATGTATCAGACGGTGCAATCGAGACGCGCGGCGGTGGCGCTATCGGGTCTAGCGATATTATCAGCAGTTCCGAGAGCAAGTCAACGCCAGATTGAAGGAAGTCATTGTAGATCGGTCAGCCCCACAACGAGACGTCGGATCGCACTAGATCGAGGCGGGATCTCGCGACTGGTTGTACCTAGACCGGGTGAAGGAAGGATACGCGGGGAAATTGGCTCACCAGTGGCATGGGCCATTCCGGGTGGCTGAAAAGGTCAACGAATTCAGCGTCAAGCTTGAGATCGCGGATACTGGGTGCCCGACCTTCCCAGTAGTCCATTTGTCGAAACTGAAATTGTTCAAGGACTTCCCGGATCGACCACGGATAGAGCTCACGGTGGTCGAGTCAGATCGCGTTGACTTCGATGAAATCCTGCTTCCGAAAGAGAGCTGGATCCCAGATCTTGGGCCGACGAGTACGAAGTCGAGTGGACCTCGGATGTGCAGAGTGGGAAGAAGACGTGGTTTCGTGGGATCTACCGAGAATTCCTGGTGCATTAGGCAGGGTATAACAAGCCGAGCTGGGGCGACGAAGCTGATCTCAACTGCGAGCCAATTTTGAACACCTTCCTGCGAGAACGAGCTAATCGGATCAGCTTCAATGTGTGATGCAATCACATGAGAAGATGTAAGGAGGACGGGGTGAGATAGTTTGATCGTCTCGACCCCGAGGAAGTGGAAGTCGGATGAGACGGAGATCAGAAGTTCATGTTGTATATGTCCATATAGAAAATGGTGACCTTTATAAGGGATTGCGGAAGGCGTGGTGAGTCTGAGGAAAGATCACTTAGGAGGAGCGACGAAAAGAGCCTGCAAGAAGAAGATGTGACTGAGATTAGAAAATTAGGGGCCGACAGGAAGGAATCGCTATCGCGGGATGGCGAGTAGAGATCACGGAAGTTCTCCCCAAAGTGAAGTCAGATCCACGATCACGTATCCGCTGGAGGGTTGAATTTGTAGCGATACGAGGGTTCTGAAGCGACCGATGAGCGGAACCTGGATCGCGGTAATGGTTCCACCAGCGATCTGCCTGATCGCACTCGAACTGGGCCGTGATCAGGTCGGTCGGCGGCGTTAGATTGGCCGTCCTGGAGACAGGTCCGGGATGCCAGCGCACGCGATCCTGGGGCGTCCGCAGGTGGGGATCCAGCAAGAGGTCGATATCAGCCCACTAACTCCTCATCATTAGGAGGCACTCTCCCAACAGTTTCCACCAACTATCCTCAACACGGATGCGTCGCTTACGTTTGATCCCGGTGATAGATGAATAGATCAGGGTCCGCGGCGACCATCACTTTCGTGATCTCGAGATAATGGTGTGGCGAAGTGGAATCCGTGAAAATCTTGTGATCGTGGTTCCTAATACCACTGGCACCCGGACACCGACTAACGAAGGGGGTCCTCCGATGATCCGTGATCTGGTTGTGTTCTTGTTCACCTTGTGTACCCGACGGCGGGCGGGTTACGCTCTCCCGGGTGACTCGTTCGATGTATATCTGGGAATGTCGGAACGGAGGGGCTTGAGATAGTGCGGAACTTCTTCGCTCTACCTCGTTCTGGTCGATCTCGGTCGCAGACGGGTCCTTGAGTCGCAATCGAGTTGCCAGGCTGTCGATCCAGGTCTTTAGGTTGTCCAAATACGGAGATCTTACTCCTTCCTTGTAGATGCTTGCCGCTTCCAATAGCGGGGAACTTATAGAGTTGAGATCCGACGTGATCTTCAGGCCAAGCAATCAATGCCTTCCGATCAGTTGTTAACACTTGAGGACAAGTCACTAGGTAGGGCAAAGCTGGCCAAATATATTATCCAGGCTTAACCACTACGCTAGATCCTACGTCCTAACCGTCTGCGCGCTTGAGGGGCCAAATTAATCCCCGATTCCAGGCGAAGGCGGACACTTGTGTGGCTTAGAGCAAATCCGAGTCTGTTTACTTTTATCCCTATGTTTCCTAACTCATCCTCAGCTGCTTTCCTACGATTACCTGACACCTGGATGCATACCTTATCTTGGGATCGGCGATCGGCGATCACGATCGGGTCTCAATCAGGCCTCGATCAGACCTCGATCGGTGATCGCGATCGTATCTCGAGTGGCGATCACGATAGGGTCTCGGTCGGACTTCGGTCTGTAACCTTGATCGATGATCTCCCACCAGGGTCTTGATCTTGATCGGGAACTTTCGACCTGGGATCTTGAGCCATCTCTTAACGCCGTCGTGCGGTGATCACTGTCGCCGCTGCTCGCCTTGGGGCAAATGCCGGCGACCTCCCGACAATCCCATCCTGCCTCCTTCTCCAGGGTCCAGATCGACATTCGATCTGGGATCGCGTTCACCCCGTGGGTCTTGATCGGTGATCGGCGGGGTTCAGATCGCAGCCGTTCCTGCTCGACATCGGTTCGTTGGTCCGCTATAATTCGAAATCATCGGTCGATAGCGGTTTCTACCCACTAATTTCCCTTGGTCCGGCATTCCCACGATACAATACGGATATGTCGCCACCCTTCGATCCATCGAGTTGATCTTGTGTCATCAGCAGTCGATCTTGGGTCATCCGTAGTCCCCATCACTCACCGATGTTGTCGCACGTCAGATCTTGGGGATTCGGCTTGACGCTTTGGCCTAGAGTGGGATTTCCGTCGCCTGGTCCGTCTCTTTCTCGCGATCTGGCAGCCGAGGTTGCTCTTCTTGTTAAATTTCGATCGCACTTTGCCACAATGGGTCGATTCCCAATACGCGATCTGGTGATCCTCCTCCAGGGCGGCATACGATCCCATAGACGGGTGCCAACCCGCCGGTGGAGGTTGTGATCGAAAGTCAGCAGAGTGGTGCGATTCTGTCGAAGCAAGCGCCACGGCTCCGTAGCCATCAGAGACAACACGTTGGCACCATTGACTAGTTCTGAGCGGTAACCAGTCACGTGTATGGGCGCCGAACAAAAGGTGTCCGAACAGGGAACAGGAAGCCGGGTGGGATCGGCAACCTCTTGGTCAAAGTGGTCTTAATAATGGCGACGATCGGCACGGTTCCCACGATAGCTGGATCCCACGGGGTGATCTCGGCTGCCGTGAATATTTTCACCGTGGAATATTGGGGAACATTCGCCTCGGCAGGAAATAACGGCGGATTCAGTTGGAGAGGCGAGCCACCACCAGGGGAACCACCGCCTGAACTTCCTCTGGGAGATCCGTGAGATGAGGGGAGAGGAAGCGAGGGTCCATGATCTGCCGAAGGTAAATTATCATCACCTCCACTGCCTACACCACCTCCGCTTGGGATCTCGCGCTTATCCTCGAGTTCCTCACCCTCCGGACTTTCGATCTCGGGTTGATCTTGGTCGGGCGGCGGAGACATAGTCCGATCGCTGCGAGGCGTTTTGAGAGGCGACAATTGGGGAGGTGAACTGGGTGGACTTCGTTCACGCTTCGGCATCCGAGCCGCTTGGCCCTCTCGGATTCTGCTAGTGAGATGTGTGTACTTTCGGCCAGATCCCACAATTCTCCGAGTTGGTCGTGGGCGAGCCGGAGATCCGCATTCCTGCCCTCCCATCCCTGAAGTTCCAGACGAACCACTTCAAGACCATCGTCCAGCTGGGCGGCGTGAGCAGCTTCCGTAAAGAGATCTAAGCAGACCTGATCGTTCTCCCTAATCGCCTGATCACGGTGTTGTAGGGCTGTGTCGCGATCGGCAAGCGCCCGATCCCGATCCTCCGCGACCTGGGCGAGTTGCGTGAAGGCCTGATCCCGATCGTAGATGACCTCCGTCAGGGTTGCGCAGGTGGGCGCAAAATCTGCCAACGCCCGACCCCGGTTCGCCTGGGCTACACGGGCAGAACTTCCAAGGGGTGATCCCCCTCCGTGATCTGGTTGCGGATGAGTGAGGCTGGAAGAGATCCGGTTGTAGCCGGCGAGGGCGGTGGCGGATTCAGATCTCGTGTCGTCGGTCTCGCGCTCCAAATCGCGAACCTGCTCATGCAAGTCCCGGATCTCGTCGTCGGCATGGGTGGCTTCCTGGCGCAGACGACCGTGATCCGCCTCGGCATAATGAAGATCTTCACGGCGGAAAGCGTGTGACGCTCGAAGTCGTTGCGTTCGGTGCGAAGAACGTGGGCGCGGAGACCTTCAGGATCGTTACCAGCGTCGTGGGTGAGGGTCGTGATATCGGCCTCTAGGTGGGTGATCTCGTCTGGAACACTTCCATGTCCCGGACGTCTGATCGCAGCTGGCGGACTTGCAGATTGAGATGACCTCGATCCCGGACGAGGCGATCCCCCGCGAGGTTGTTCTGGCGGAGCTCGCCCACCAGGGTGGCTAACCGCCGATCCCGATCGGAGGGGTGGGAGCGCGAGTGACGCGAGATAGTGAACTATCGCGACCGGTTGCTTGCGGTGGATTGTGGAGAGTGGGGAAGAGTCTGAATGAGTGGGCTCCCGGAGTCGCTACCTGCCTGACTCATGGGGATAGCTGGCGGAAGGATGAAGATGAGTGCGTCCGAGTCGGCGAATTGTGAAAAGCTGAGGGCGGATGTGGTGAAGTGCGATCAAGATCTCGCGAGAAAAGCAACCTCGGCTGCCAGATCGCGAGATAGAGACGGACCAGGCGACAGAAATCCCACACCAAGCTTAGACCTCAAGTCGTCTCTCCAAAATCCAGCGTGCGACAACACCAGTGAGGTTGACTTCAGATGACCCAAGAACGACCCCTCGAATGATGGATGGCGACGATACCCGTGTCGCGACGAGAGCATGCAAGATCAAGGGGAATGAGTGGGCATGAGTCGCTGTCGACCCACGATCTGGGATCTCGGTGAACATTGATTGATGGAAGATGACTACGTTGGAGTCACCCTCGCTACCCCAGATAAGGGCGATCCCTGGTCAAGGCAAGATGATG